CCACAAATTAAGTCATTTCAACCATCTACTAATAGGGCCTTCTAGTCAAATTCAACCTACTGCTATCCTACCCATCTCAGTCAGGACTGCTTCACACAAACAGGTTAGGGCTGGGCCTGGAGGCATTGTGACCAGCACGACTGAATAAAAAGGCGTCAGTACCAATAGCCTGGAGGGCCTGCAGCGAGCAGGGATGGGCAGATTTCTTGATGCCTACATAATACTTGAATAGTTGCTTTTTTTCCCTCATGTCCATCTGATTCGATCAGGAGCCAGGAAGAGAACCAACTGCTTAGCTGGGGATTGCTCGGGGCAGCAATTTGCTCCCCAGTAATGTGATGGCTTCTAAGGCAAGAAGAAAGCAGAATGAGAGTTAAGCAAAGAAAGTATTCTTGGCATAGGTCCAGAGGAAAGGCAGTCTGGCTGAAACAGTTCAGTTCCCTTGGCCAGGAAGCAGCCATCTACGTAAACAGGAAGTAGAGAAGGTTGGGGGATAGGGCAGTGGTTAGTTGGTGAGAACAGGCACTGACACCAGATGGGTGTCAAGTGGTTACATTCAAAAGAGATTATGAGACAGGCCCTGACTTTGCACGTTCACCATCCCTGCTCTCTCCTGGGAGGCCTTGTTTCACTAGGGTGTATGTCTGTGCTGTATGTGTCAGGTCTTGCTCTTAAAAGGATAAATCTTTGAGGGCGCCTGGGTGGCTCAGATGGTTAAGCGTCTGCCTTCGGCTCAGGTCATGATCCCAGCGTCCTGGGATCGAGTCCCGCATCGGGCTCCCTGCTCCTTGGGAGCCTGCTTCTCCCTCTGCCTCTCTCTCTCTGTCTCTCATGAATAAATAAATAAAATCTTTAAAAAAAAGAAAAAAGGATAAATCTTTGAGCACCTGCCTTTTTTGCCCGTTGTCTGCTGGCTCGTTTTATTTTATCTCGTTTAATAGTCTAAACATTCTGTGAGGATAGGGCTACTATTTCCATGTTTTCAGGTGAGAAATCCTCATAAAGATTAGGTTACCTTGCCCAAATTACACCACTATACACTTTTGAAAATTATATCCTCTCTGAGAAGTGACCATTAAGCATACCCTATTAGAAAGAGAGTGTGTAAGTTTTCTAAAGATGCCATAACAAATTGCCACAAACCTGCTGGCTTAAAACAATATATTTACTTTCTCAACCTTCTGGAGGCCAGAAGACTGAAATCAAGGTGTTAGCAGAGCCACGCTCCTTCTGAAAGCTCTAGAGGAGAATCCTTCCTCACCTCTTACAGCTTCTGGTGGCCCCAGACATACCTTGCCTTGTGGCTGTAAAACTCTAGTCTCCTCCTCCAACTTCACATGGTCTTCTCTTTGTCCCCATCTTCTCTTCTGTCTCTTTTAAGGCCTCTCATCACTGGATTCATGGCCCACCAGGATAATCCAGGATGATCTTATCTCAGTATCCTTAACTTAATTACAGCTGCAAAGAGCTTTTTTCCAAATAAGATAACATTCACAGGAGCTAGGTATTAGGACATGGACATATCTTTTTTTTTTTTTTTAAAGATTTTATTTATTTATTTATTTGAGAGAGAGAAAGCAGGAGAGTGGGGAGGGTCTGAGGGAGAAGCAGACTCCCCGCCGAGCAGGGAGCCTGATGCGGGACTCGATCCCGGGACTCCAGGATCATGACCTGAGCCGAAGGCAGTCGCTTAACCAACTGAGCCACCCAGGCGCCCAGGACATGGACATATCTTTTTGGAGGCCACCATTCAACCAGATATAGAGGGTCTCATTATTCAAATATCAGTGCAGATCTTGTAGTATTTTAGTAACAGTCATGGAATTGAGAGGGCCATTATCTTGATTAGAGTGCCCATGGCCAGATCCCTACTCTTTAAAAGAATAAACTTTTCCAGGGGTGCCTGGGTGGCTCAGTCAGTTAAACAGCTGACTCTTGATTTCAGCTCAGGTCATCTCAGGGTCCTGGGATCAAATCCCACATAGGGCTCTGCACTCAGTGGGGAGCCTGCTTCAGGATTCTCTTTCTCCCTCTGTCCCTCCCCAACCCCTCTCTCTCTAAAATAAATAAATAAATCTTAAAAAAAAAACAAAAAAACTTTTCCAAAATGCTGGTCTCCCCAGCCAACCCAACCCATCCTCCCAAACCTTAGGCTTATCACAATTTCAGGAAAAGAGGAAAGTATCTCCTTGGAATCCTCATCTTTCTTCTTTGCCTGCTAATTCCTACTGACACTTCAAGACCAGTTTCCCTGCCACTGTATCTGCAATTCATCAACAAGCCTCCTCGGTCCTTTCCATGAGTTGTCACCTTCCTCTACTGTGATTTCAAGTCACTCTATTTGTGGGAACTTTTTGACCTCTGTCTTATCCAACCTCTCTTCAATAGTTTAGGAGCTCTCAGAAAGAACTGTATCATATTCATCCCTGAATCCCTGATGCCTAGCAGGTGCTCAGTGAATGTTTCCTGAAAAATGAAAGGCCTGGGCGCCTGGGTGGCTCAGTTGGTTAAGCGACTGCCTTCGGCTCAGGTCATGATCCTGGAGTCCCGGGATCGAGTCCCACATCGGGTTCCTTGCTCGGCAGGGAGTCTGCTTCTCCCTCTGACCCTCCTCCCTCTCCTGCTCTCTGTCTCTCATTCTCTCTCTCTCAAATAAATAAATAAATAAAATCTTAAAAAAAAAAATGAAAGGCCTGTGTCATCATGGATTCAAGACTAAGATACTTGGTTTGGTGACAGTGGGACCCAGGATTTTACTCTGTAAACTTGTCAGGCTGGAGATACAGACAGAAAAGAAACAGAGGTAGTCCTAGAAATCAGTCTGGAAGAGCACAAGAAGAAGGAATTGTAGAAAACTGTGTTATCCAGTTTGGGGGCATAGTGGTGATGGTTTAAGACAGATTGGGAACCCTCGGGCCATTCACCTACGTTCAGCATGAAGACCATGGAAGTGGGGAATCATGTTGGGGTTCCCCATCAATTTCAATGACAGCGCATCAGAAAGGTTGGGGATGATGGATGAGCTACAACTAGAAATTGTCAGTACTGATACCAGGGAGGTATGTAGTCATGGGATGAATTAAGGGAAAAAGCACAAAGGGAAGTATGTGTGAGAGACCATTCAGGAATTTCCTAAACAAGAGAATGGTATGATGTTGGGTCCCATTAGCTAGTACACATGTATTGGTTAAGAGTTTAGTATGTTCTTGGTGCCTGTCACTCTTAGGTGATTCTGAGGAGAGTGTATCGTATTACCCACCTCTGGCATTCATTCATTCAGGGCATCTGATCCATAGGCTGACAATAATTAATGAGGTCTTGGTTTGAGAGCTCTTAAAATGAAGTTAATAACCTCTGAATCAGTAGGCTCAAGTAGCACAGTGTAATGATTACCAATCCCCAAGGTCTAAAACCAGAGTGCATACCAATTGGACAAGTTATTTAACTGCCTCAGTTTTCTCTTTAGTAAAATGGGTATGATAATAATAGTATACATCTCATAAAGTTGCTTTAAAGTCACAGTGGGTTATTTAAGCCTTTAATAAGAGTAATCAATACGGATTACCTATTATTACAATTATTAAGAGGCAAATATAAAAAGTTCTATCAAATCATCAAGTTATACACCTTAAAGTTATACAATTTTATATGTCAATTACATCTCAATAAAGCTGGGGGAGGAAGAGGCAAACACTCTACATTGCCACCTTATGAACTGAAATAGTAATAGTCATCCTTTTCTAGCATGATGGGACATATATTAGTTAAGACTCTTTCAGTTGGGTTTCAAATTACAGAAACCCAACTCAAACTAGCTTAAGTGAAAAAGAGGGCTTTCTTGACATGTCTAACTGAAAAGCCCAGGGTTCTCTGTACATCAGCTTCAATATAGCTGGTTTCAGGAGCACAAAGTGACATTATCAGGACTTGGCTTCTTTTTATTTTTTATTTTTTTGTTATTATTATTTTTTAAGATTATTTATTTATTTATTTGACAAAGAGAGACACAGGGAGAGAAGGAACACAAGCAGGGGGAGTGGGAGAGGGAGAAGCAGGCCTCCTGCTGAGCAGGGAGCCCGATGCGGGGCTCGACCCCAGGAACCTGAGATCACGACCTGAGCCGAAGGCAGATGCTTAACGACTGAGCCACCAGGTGCCCCAAGACTTGGCTTCTTTTTATCTCAGCTTTGCTTTCTTCTCTGCTAACTTTATTCTCAGGCAGGTTCTTGGAGTAGCAGCAAAATGACTGTTGGTAATGTCAGACGTGCATTCTCACAACTGAACAACCATGGTAGAAAGTTCCAGAAGGGTGCCAGGGTGGCTCAGTCACTTAAGCATCTGACTCTTGATTTCGGCTCAGGTCATGATCTCAGGGTTATGAGATCAAGCCCCACATTGGACTCCATACTAAGTATAGAGCCCCTTGAGATTCTCTCTCTTCTTCTCCCTCGTCCCTCTCGCCTCCCCCCAAAAAGAGAAAGATCCAGCAAAAATTCTAGCCCTGATTCTCATTGGCCTAAATTGTCTCACGTGCTTACTCCTCAACCAATCTCTGTCTCTCCGTGTGGTGAGGCCTAGATCATGTGCCTACCCCTAAGTGAGTAGAAGGGCTTTTCCACGCAAAGTAGGGTCTTGCTTACCAGAAGAAAACCAATAGAGGCAGATAGGGATCGTTTCAGATTTTGTGGAACCTGAAGCTTTATATTTTGGGCACTCTTTAATAAAAATAATACAGAATTACAAATTAAAAAATATGTCTGAAACTGAATTTTATTTAGACTGAGAAAATAAACCACAACCAATTACTGGAATCTCGGAGATTCAGGGAGGAGAGCTGGCCCTTTGAACACAGCTAGATAAATATCAAATCATTCTGGAGTCTTGGAGATTCGGGTTCTTTTCTTCTGAGGTCCGTTTAGGCAATTTGTCAGAAATGCTTATATATAAAAATGCTTCTTGTCGGGTGGCTTCCTCTCCCCATCCAGAACACTCCATCACTCCTGGAATTTCCCGGCACATACAGGGACCCTTGCAAGTGAAGAGCTCGGAAGCTTAAACTTGGTCAGCTTTACAACAAATCCACCTCTGGACACAGGGCAAGCAAAACAACAGATGTCTGTTTCTTAATAGCAAATTCCTTGTTTTTTTTTTTTTAATTTTTTTTTTAAGATTTTATTTATTTGCGAGAGAGAGAATGAGAGACAGAGAGCATGAGAGGGGGGAGGGTCAGAGGGAGAAGCAGACTCCCTGCCGAGCAGGGAGCCCGATGCGGAAGTCCCGGGACTCCAGGATCATGACCTGAGCCGAAGGCAGTCGCTTAACCAACTGAGCCACCCAGGCGCCCAGCAAATTCCTTGTTTTAAAGAATGGCAATCTGGACATATATCCGAATAACTCTGCTCAGGCCACCACGTCTGGGGAACCTTGGGTCTTGGCAGAACAAGTGATCATCATTTTGTACTTCGTGGCATCTGCCAAACCCCGCCGGATTTTTGCTGCGCTGATTTTAACAGCTCTGCACTCACGTAATTCACTGCTTTAAAGGGCCATGTTTTACTTGGCAGGGCTGCTTTCAGAAAACTTACAGGGACCGTTGGCCCCAGGAGTCCAAAGCTGAACCTGTCCCGCCACAGCCCTGTCCTGATTTCCTCCTCTCCTTCTCATCTACCTTTTCTTCCACCTCTTCTCTTCTTTCTCCTCCCTTTCCTCCACTTTTTCTTCTTCCTTCTCCTCTTTTGCCCTGATTATTTTGACAGATCTTTGAGTTCAGACAGCACATCACACATGAGGCCTAAATTATGAGCAAATTCCACTGACGTCAGGCCATTTGTACATCCAGTGAACTTGACTCGATTTTTGGCATCCCTAAGCTGTGTCCATTGGAGATGCAGACAAGTGCCTTCAGGGCAACAGAAGCATTCCAGATGGTGGTGTTCGGAGAGGCTCCCCAGCACACTACCTCCCATCTGGGCCAGTGCTCCGAGGGGCCATAGGCCACTCTCGGCACATCCCCACAGCTGCTGTTGACTCTTGGAAGGAGAGCAGCAAACATACTGTGACTTATCAGGGGAAACCTGCAGATGATTAACTCTGGGCCTATTATACGCTGCATTTCCACCCAAGCGGACTCCAGGCTGGCGGTAAAAGCAGGGTATGAGAGAGGACAGACACAGTGGAATACCAGGAGTTTGGCAGCAACCAAAAATGTTTTCCCCAAGCAAAGGAGACACTTGAGTAGGAATAAAAAACATTTAGAGATAGACGAGCGTGGGTGCAGGTCTCTGCTATTTCCCTCTTACCTGTGTAAACTTGATGGATTGTGGTAGATATCTGCCACGCATTCTTTCCCACACTCCTACTTCTGAAAACAGCAGACTCTTCCCTTTGGGACACTCCTTTCCTACCCCCTGTGGCCTCAGGGATCTATCTTCCTACACTGGGGGACCAGTTTCACCGTCACAGCCCTCTGGACATAGCAAATAAACACATGGTTTATGCCAGCCCATTGTAGTCCTTCCTTGAAAGTTTCCAAAATGTAGAGTGCCTGGGTAGCTCCGTTGTTTGAGCTTCTGGCTCTTGGTTTTGGCTCAGGTGGTGATCTCATGGGATTGTGGGATTAAGCCCTTGGTGTCCTGTTCCATGCTCAGTGGGAAGTCTGCTTGAAGGATTCTCTCCCGCTGCCCCTCCTCCTGCTCCCTCTCCCCCTGCTTGCACTCTCTCTCTCTCCCTCTCTCTCTCTCAAAATAAATAAGTAAATCTTGGAAAAAAAACAAAAAAGACAGTTTCCAAAATTTCTAAATTAAGTCAAAGCTCTATAAGAATATTTACATACCTTACAACTGAAAAACGAGGAAGAAAGGAAAATAGCTGTCACCCTAGCAGGGAGAAAGAAGACATCCAAATTTAAAAAGTTATGCCTCCACTCCTCTGAATCGCTGCCGCAGCTTCCTAGATTTATGGGGGCAATGTGGGATTACACATATGTGAATTTTCCTGGTAGCCTGAAGGTTATCCTTTCAAGGGTAAAAGGACCTCTTAGTATTTTTTTTAACCATATTATTTGCAGACTTTTCTAAAATGTTTTAGAAACTTCCCTTACTTTTAAAGTGGGAAATACCACCTTTAACCTCTTCTGCATGGCTCAGGGTCATCAAAATGAGGCTCATTTAGTAGTCTGTGTGATAATATAGTTTGAGTCCTCTTTTCTTTTCTTTTTTCTTTTTTTTTTTTAAAGATTATCCCACCCTGCACTTCCTAACTCCTTCCTGCTTGCCCCAGCACCGCAGGGTGAGCCCCCAACAAGAATGGGCTTCACGGACAGTCCATGCTCCATTCCCTTCCTGTCTTGCGTCCCCCTTCCTGACGAGCTCCTGCATTCCTCTGGCTCCTGAACTTCTGTTTGCTTCCGGCTTGTAGCCCAGCAGTTTCCCCTTAGATCTCACCTGCGATACAGCTGCTCTGGGGCTGACCTTTGGTCCTCTTCCTCCTGTGGAAGAGGAAGGCCACTCTGCCTCTGCCCTTGGGCCCTGTTCTGCCTCCAGCTGGCACTTGCACTGAGCCAGGCCAGGGTCCCATGACAAGGGATCAGATGTTAATGCTCCTGTCTCCTTTCACATGCTGAAATGAACTGGGATCATTTGCCACAGGGACAAACAATCTCACACACCACCATAACCCCCAAAGATTTTAAAACAGCAGAGGGCAGAAGAAGGGTTAGAGAGGATATTTGTCCCCACTGCAGAAGGCATATCCTAGTTGGGCAGTGTAGATACCAGTTCTCTGGGGAGCATCAATTGCCATTTTTACTCGTTCACTGGGTTACAGATGCTGCTTGGGAATGGTCAAATTTCCAAGCCTGACCACTAAACTTGACTGCTGGCCCCTATCTTACTGAAGCCTAGCTTTCTCTTGTTCCCTCCCAGCTGATCCAGGAGCCCACGGCCACCCAGGTTACAATATTTTCTTTCTGCTCCAACAAGCCCATCTCTTCATCTCCATAAAAAGGGCTTCAAGATGAGTTAGAAAAACATGAAAATGTATGTGTGTACATGTCAAAAATGGATCTTAAACTGTTTTCAAGGGTAAAGGAAGCTAACATGATAAAAATTACTCTGAAAGAATAGACACCCTTTTAAAAAGCAAATGCAAAGGATGAATCTTGCCAAATTAAATGCTGAATTGAATATAAACTTCCGACTCCCATTTTAGAAGTTCGGAGCACCCTGACCAATTCCATGTTCTCAGTGACCTGCTGGGTAGTGGCTTCTTGCCTCGTTTTACAGGGAGCTGGACCATCTGCCTGGCCAGCCAAAGAAAACACATATGAGCCCGGCCTGGAGGCTCTCTTTCCCTTGAATGCCTCTTGCTTACCCCATGCCCTGTTGTGCTCACTCTTGGTCTCTCATCCCATGATACTTTATTTTTTTTAAAGATTTTATTTATTTATTTGAGATAGAGCGAGCAAGAGAGCACAAGCAGGGCAGAGGGGGAGTGGGAGTGGGAGAGGAAGAAGCAGGCTCCCTGGGAGCCCATGCAGGGCTCTATCCCATGACCCTGAGGTCATGACCCGAGCCGAAGGCATCCACTTAACCAACTGAGCCACCCAGGCGCCCCCCACCCCCAACCTTGGTGTACTTTAATCCTCAATCCTGGCCACACATTGGAATCATCCAGAGAGCTTTTAAAAAAATCTGATGTCCAGGCCCAAACATAGCCAATTAAAACAGAATCTCTGTGGCTAGGGCCTGAGCATAGCATTCCCCCTACAACAGTTTACTGAGGAAAATTTCAGACATACAATAAAGTTGAAGAAAGTTTACAGGACATCTGAATATCCACCACTTAGATTTCACCATTATATTATACATGTCTATTCTTCTGGTAACATTTTACTACTGCATATCTATCTATCTATTAACATTCTGCTGATCATCCATTAATTCATCTTATTTTTTAAATATATATTTTTTTATTTTTATTTTTATTTTTTTAAAGATTTTTAAAATTTATTTGACAGAGAGAGAGATAGGGAGAGCAGGGACACAAGAGGGGGAGTGGGAGAGGGAGAAGCAGGCTTCCCGAGGAGCAAGGAGCCCGATGTGGGGCTTGATCCCAGGACCCTGGGATCATGATCTGAGCCGAATGCAGACGCTTAACCGACTGAGCCACCCAGGCGCCCCTCTCTCCATTTTTAAAAGTTTATTTTATTTATTTACTTGTTGAAGTCATCTCCACACTCAACCTGAAGGCAGATACTTAACGACTGAGCCACCCAGGTGCCCCTTTAAATACATTTTAAAGTAAATTGATTACCAGGGCATGTGGGGAGGAGAGGATGGAGAGTTATTGCTTAATGGTAACAGTTTCTTTGGGGTGATGAAAAAGTATCAGAAACAGATAGTGGTGATGGTCGCACAGCATTGTGAATGTAACTAATGTCTATAACTAATGAATTATACACTTAAAATGGTTATAATGGGGTGGCATGGCCGGCTCAGTCAGAAGAGCATGTGACTTGGGGCGCCTGGGTGGCTCAGTGGGTTAAGCATCTGCCTTCGGCTCAGGTCATGATCCTGGCATCTAGCCCCGCATCAGGCTCCCTGCTCCGCAGGAAGCCTGCTTCTCTCTCTCCCACTCCCCCTGCTTGTGTTCCCTCTCTCACTGTGTCTCTCTGTCAAATAAATAAATAAAATCTTAAAAAAAAAAAAAAGAAGAGCATGTGACTCTTGATATCAGGGTCATGAGTTTGAGCCCCACCTTGGGTGTAGAGATTGCTAAAAAAAACCTTAAAAATTGGTTATAATGGTATATATATTTCAAAGATTTATTTATTTGAGGGAGAGAGAGAGAGAAAGAGAGGGTGGAGAGAGGGGCAAAGGGAAAGGGAGAGAGAGAATCTCCAGCAGAACCCCTGCTGAGTGTGGAGCCCGCTAGGGCTCAATCTCCCAACCCTTAGATCATGACCTAAGCTGAAACCAAAAGTCGGACGCTTAACCCACTGAGCCACCCAGGCACCCCATGGTATATTTTATTATATACACACACACATTTGTGTATAAATATTGTGTGTGTGTGTGAATACACATTATTTAACCACAATAGAACATTTTAAAATCACAGATAATTATGTTTCACTTTCTGAGCTTGGATAGTGTATATGTGTTTGCTTTTCTTTATTCTTTATACTGTGCACATATATCATAGATAACTCCATCTTACCTACTGAGTAGAAAGACTTTTAGAAACAATGAGTAGTATTCTTTACCGGCAGGAAAATCCCACTCTCTTTCCTTCACCTACAGCAGTTCTTTCTTCAGGAGCGTGAAGTCTGTCCCTCACTACTTCAGCCACCGCAAATCTCCCTTTCTTCTGAATTTGCTTAATATCTTTGTCGTTCTTCCTAGCTCTAATTTGAGTACTATGTCATTTCCTGGTCCTTTCATCTCAGGTAAAGAGGTAGCTCGCTTGCTCTGGTCTCAGCTCGAACCTCACCCTTTGGTGCTGTGCTCTTGTATTGCCTCTCATGGGCTCTCTTGTGTGTTGGCTCTTGATAGTTAAGGCCATGGGACACACCATCAAAGCTCGGAAGCAGGGGAAGAGAGAAGCCGGAGTATTTCTCACTCTTTGCCTGCTTTCTGTGGAATCTGGTGGGGTCCCACTGGACAGCCTCTCCCTACCTGGCCCCAGTTCTCCCTTGGGCAGTTCCAGCAGCGCTTCTAGCTTCCTCTGCCTGACAGCTCAGGTTTCAGGCCTCTGGTAACACTGTCTTCTCCCAGTTTCACCCACGCAGCAAGGGGAGCAGCCTCCTGATTTTGTCAAATCTCTGGGTTGCTTCACCATTCCCTGTTTGGCTTGTTCACGCTTCCATTCATCCTTTGTAAAAAAAAAAATAAATAATAATAATAAAAATAAAATTGCCCTTCCTCTGGAAACCTATTTATTCTCCAGAATAGATCCCAATTGATACAATGTATAGTAAAAAAAAAAAAAGAAAAGAAAAGAGCACAGGCTTGGAAGCTGCAGGGACCTAAATCTGAATCCTGTGGCTTACTCTACAAACATGCACAAGTGACTTAACCTCATTCTGTAAACTTGGGGGGGGGCGTCACAAGACCTACCTCATTGGGCTGCTGTGTTACATCGTGTATGAGCCCACATGGCTGGCTCCTGTGCCATAGTTAGGACTCTTGTCAGCGGCGCTATTGTTACTGGCTTCTAACCTCCTTGACAGCATGGCTGTATTATTATTATTATTCTCTTTGTGTCCCAGTGCTTTATGTAAAGGTATTTGTCACATTCTTGGCTCTTAAAATTTTATTTCATCAGCAACTTATTGAGCACCTGCGCTGTGCTTGCAATTGTCCTAGGCACTAGGTCTAGGAGACGTGATGAAAACAAAGGCCTTGCTTTCAATGTGCTTACAGTCTCATGGGAGTAAGAGACACCACAACAACTATGGAAAGGCAGTCCGACAAACACAGCACATCGGGGCACATGTAACATGGGTGGGTACATGGCTGAAAGAGTGAGGGACTGACTCTGCTTAGGAATATCAAGCCCAACTCTAGAGGAGTAGGAACCCTGCTGTCTATGAAGGAAGAGAAGACTTTCCACAAGAAACAAATGCAAGGAAGGGGAGCTCCGACTGGGGGAATGGCATGAGCTAATGGTAGAGCTCTGAACGTACATGTAGCAGTTGGAGCACAATTTGTCCAGCCTGCTCCTTTAACGGGGATATGTGGAGGGAGACCTTGAAATCCTTGCTAGCTCCTGGGCATGGACTTGATTCTGCAAGTAAACAAATCAGGAAAGTTTTGAGGAGAGGAATGATTTGATCCATCTGCAACCTAAGAAATAGAAAAGTGGAGTTTGGGCAGACCTGTTAGCAAGTTCCTGCGATGGTCCTACTGTGGTAGGATTCATAGCACTTGGGGACTGATACAGGGGATGAGCAGGAGGGTTAGTTAATATTGTCTCTAGGCTGGCATTTCTCAATCTATGCAGCAGAATAATGTCTCATGAATAACAGCAATCGTTATAGCTGTTTTTTTCAGTGTACTTAGAAAAAAATACGTAGATATACATTTCATACACTGGCCTGTCATTATCATATAAGGCTCTATACGATCTGACCCAGATGACATCTTGTACCTCATCCCAGCTCTTCCTCTTGCTTAGTGTACTCCATCTCTTTCAGCCACTTTTCTGTTGCTCAGAGAGGCCAGCCTTGGTCCTGATTCAGCGCCTTAGCAGTTGCTATTCTATCTGCCTGGAAGAATTTTACTCCAGACCTTTGCTTCTCCTTATATGATCTGGCACTTTGTTTCTTACTACTCTCCCTTTTACTTACTCTCCTTTGAGCATTCTATCCCTTTGCTCTTCTTGAATATTATCAGGCACGCTGTGGCCCCAGGGCTTTTGCACTTGCTATTTCTTCCTGCCTAGAATTATCTTCCTCTAGGTTTCTGTAAGATTCACTTTCTCATCTCTTTCAGGTCTTTCGTTGCTTATGTGTCACCATTT